CTAACTGTTATTTGGGTTTTTGGATCAAATTTTCCCTCCGCTATCTGTCTCTTCATATTATGGCCTAAAATAGACATTTAATGCGAAATCTTATTATAAACTCTTTGATACAAACTTTCGAGAACACAAGAGGCGGCAAAACTCCAACACGAGCCACACTTTCCCTATTATTTTGGAAATACAATTTAACAATACATTTAATTAAATTCATTTGTCACCTGATTTCTTGGAGGCGTTAATATCCCAAACTTTCTCCAATCCCACTCTTTTGGCATATCTGCGACTTCAGGCACCGGTGCGGACGCTGTAATGGTTTGAATGGCATAAATATTTAAGAAAATAAATTTAAAATATGCTATAATTGAAAAACCTTTGACCATAACGTCTCCGCCGTCTTGTTTGAAACCTAACTTCTGTTTTAAAATCTCCGAAAAGCTCTGAATAAAAACACAAATAAATATAAGATATAATAATTGCAAATGAATGGCATAGAAGTTAACCATATCTGACATTTCGTTGATTCCTTTCATATATTTTGCTTTCATATTCCTGTTGTGTTCCTTAATCTTCTCAACGGATCTCTTGAAGAAACTCATTCTCTCCTCCTTTTCCGCTTCATTCGCGTACTTCTTATTGAATAATTTCTACATTTAATTGATTTCAATAAACTATCATTAATTTTCAAACGCAATGGCAAACCATTATAATGACAAACCCTATATCCATCATAAAAGGGCAAGAATTGTGTCAAATTTCGGACATCGAGTTTACTTATATCGAAGTTGAGAATATCCATCAATTCTATTCATAATTAAGACAATTTTTGAATCAATAAATTATTTCATTTTGTAATTAATACAAAACTTTTGGCAATACTTTTGGCTTTTTCTCTAACGTAAATGTTAGCCTTTTTCTTCAGTTTTTGATACTTTTCTTTGAGAGTCAACTTCTCAGCCGGAACTTCCTCTTCCACGACACCGTTTTGGTCACTCTTAGGAGTTGTTGACGACGAGGCAGTTGTTGTCGAAACAGTGGACTGACTCGTCGACGCCGTTGTAGTGGTCGAAGCATCGGCTGGTGTGGTGTCATCTCCTGATGTCGTGGCATCGGTTGGTGTGGTGTCGTCAGCGGGTGTTGTCGTGGTATCGGGTGTTGTGGTGTCCTCGGGTGGTGCACTGCCCGCCAAATCTTCTTCCTCGCATTTTGTGGGATTTATATGAAATATGATTGAAATTACAAACAGAAACACAAGTGAAGACCTCATCGCTTATTAACCATATGTTGCCATTTAATTAAATAAACTGAACTTCATTTTAAAATCTTAATGTTTTGTATATATATTATATACTTTTATTAATTAATTTTTCTATTTGTTTATTAATTCGTTTTTAAATTTATAAATAACACATAATTTGTTTCCATATTAAAATTTTAAGTAAATTTCTTGGGAAATAATCAATTCTAACAAAATCTATTAAATTGTGTAAATTAACGAAACAATAAAACAATTTATATTATTATGTGTATTAGAAAAATAGTAATTCAATTAATTTTGTTAATAGTAGTTAATTTCAATTGTATCCAAAAAGTCTCAATCATTGTCTAAATCCGAGAGAGTTTCCACAGAAGAGTCTTCGCTATCAATGTCTTCATCTTCGGAACAGTAATCGTGAAGTGATTCCAATTTGATCATCAAATTTGAAGGTAATGTCAAAGAGTTTACGTCAAACTTATTAATAATTTCCTCATCGCATATGTCATCGTTTCTGTAAAGACATTCAAAGCGATAACTTTTATTTGGATTATTTTGAGCCAATGTTATCAATAAATCCATGGATTCTTGTGTTATGTTTGGAAGTCCGAGGAATACAACACATCTAATGGACAAACAATTACTAAAGAGTTGTTTAATTCCAGAGTCAGTGACGGCCGGAAACCAATCTTTTTTGAAATAATTTCTCGATATTTTCAAACATTTTAATCGTTTTAATTGACTCAACGACTCGAGTGTCAAATCGGACAACTCTTTACCCGAATTCAAATGAATTGTAACTAAATTTGGAGAATAAATGTGAATGTCTTTTGTAAAACTGTCGTCCATTTCAGAGAATGTGAGGTCTAAACAAATAAGACGATTACAACTCTTCAGACAACTCATGTCAAACTTCTCCACGTTTTTGACAATATTATTATTGGTTTCACTTTTTTCGTCTTCAGTGATCAATAGTTGACACTTGAATTTCGTTATGTTATGAAAAAGACCACAAATGTTGAAAAACTCGGTCGAAATCATTGAATTGCAGCCATAATTAAAGCTCAATTCCAATGAATTAATTTTACAACAATTTAAGGCAATATTTCTAATGCTGTTATCGATTGGCATTAAATTGGTTTTGGGATCGAAAAAATTCAAATGAATTGATTCTAAAGCATTCAAACCAGAGATTAATTGAAGTCCATGTATGCAATCCTGTGTGTCATTAAATTGCATATATACTGACATATTCTTCATCTGATTCTTATATTTGTTGACAAATATCTCCAATGTTTCCAAATCTTGAGTTTTGTCAAGAATTGTTGAAACGGTTTTCAAATTTGATAAAAACAAAGCGTTTTGCTTTACAAATGATTGAAGAGATTTGCAGAAAACGTGCGTTAAATTTGGACAATAATTAAACAACAATTTGTCTAAATTTATTTCATCGTTCAAATTAATGCCAATTTTTAGTTTCAATAATTGATTGCCAAATGTTTGTCCCAATCGTTTGATAAACATGTGATCGACGCCAAAGTTTGGTAGTTTCAGAGACACGAGGTTTGGACTTTGAATGTCACAAATCAAATCAATGGTCTCTTTCTTAATCAAACAATTGCTTAAATCCAAAGTTTCGATGCCATTAAACTTCTTGAGTATCCATTCAAGCAATTCATTATTAATATTGATGGACGACAGCAATCCCTCAGATATATCCGAGTCGTCGTCCGATTCCTTCTCTTCTGCAATATTTTTGTTCTCAAATTTATACAAACTATTGAATCGGTTTCCAATCATGTAATCAATTACTAAATCTCTTTGACTTTCAGAAAAACATCTATTAAATTGACGATTTACTCCTAATAATAGTATTTTCTCTTTTAGTGGCAAATAATAGCCAATTCTTCGAATGAATTGATCGCCGAAACCATCTATTATTTGGTGTCCAGTCTTTTGCTTCTTTAATGAACTCATAATTAAATAAATTGTAATTCAATACAAAAGCTATGATTGAATTTAGAGACAAACAAATATGAGAAGTCCACTCATTAACCCATATTAATACTAACCAATGGTTAGTAACAATGCTTACAATTTTGAGAGGATTTTTCCAACTATTATAATATCAAAATCATTTCATTGAACACTCATTAATTAATAAATACGTGAATGCTTACCAGTAATAATTGAACGCATATAAAGTACTATATTTATATTATCGACACTAATTTTCACATCAAATCATATGTGATAAATAAGATTAATAGGTTAGGATTTTAAAAGTTTTAATTTTTTTATTACTACTTATATTAGTTCATTTGATAATTGTTAGTCCTTGTATAGATTTAGCGGATATACATGATGTATATTGACGAAATTGTTTTTATAATTTAAGGTAACATTCCTAGGCATCAGAAACAGAGTTGACATGATAAACCTTTATACAATAAATTTTTCAACGATGTCAGGCAAAATAGTGTATTTCTATGGAAGAGTGCCTGATGTAATTACCGACGGTTGAAATAGTATGGTGATTGATCAAGCTCAAGCAATAATAGAAAACTCTTACTCCCCTAATATTATTATTAACACCATATCCTATTCAGTGGCCAACTCTGACCGGTGACCAAATTGTGGTCACTTTATTATCATTAGTCAATCCCGATGGGCGACCTGTGTTTGTGTTCACATTTGATTACCGTTATAATTTATGTCGGATAATAATTGCTTTAAACTATTGTCAAATAACATAATATTATGGTTATATCTTGTTTGACAAATACTGTAGTAGTTTGTAAATAGTTTAAATATTATTAAAGCATTAATTTGCCAATAAGTCTTTTGAATATAGTCTTTATGTAAAAGTTTACATTATTTATTAAACACAGTCAAGACATTACAGTAATGAAAATATTGTATAATAGCATAATATGACAACTATTTATTCACCAAAACATATAATTTATATAATACACAAAATATTAAAACATCGGTTGTTATAAATGTGTAAAATTAAGATTATATAATTTTAATGCAAGTTATTTGAATATAAAAACATATACCATAAAGTATACAGTAAATGATCCAAGAATTTTCAACAATATAAATGAATATTATTTTTTGCCTAAACAAAGGCCGACACAAAACGGTCGTCTTCTATGATGATAGCGCCGGACGACAGCATAAGGTCGGTATCCATAGCCATATCGATAGCCGTAACCGTAAGGACGGTAGCCATAGCCGTAACCATAAGGACGGGGCCGGTAATAGGCAGCGCCTAAATAGGGTCCGCCATAATAGCCACCGTAATATTGCGATTCAATGTATTCAACATTTGAAA